GGAGATCAGACTGGATGCCCTGGTGGGCCCTTCTGGCCTTCAACTCTACAATTCCATGACCTTGTTACACTCGCGTGCCCAGTCCCTGGTCTTCCAGACACCTCCAATGTACACCAATCTGCTGCCTCTGTGGAAGCCATGCATTCTGTCCTTCAGCAAACTCCTCCTGGCCTTGGTTATACTGAGGGCTGCCTTATGAAAGGGGGCTGATCCCTCGTCCCTCTCCCCTGTGGACATCTCGCTGCTCTCCACTGCTAAGGGTGTGGAGGTCTCACCTCCCCCTTCAGCTGCCTCTCCCTCTGCAGGGTGTATGTCTGGGATCCAGGGGGACACACTCCCTCTTGCTGCAGATCACAATATTAACAGCCCTAGGCAGTGAAATAATATCATTCCCCACTTGCACATCCACAGGTATATTCTGGAGAACCCCCGCCTTAAAGTACCTTTTAAACCTTCCCCCTCGAGCTCAGTGTGAGCCAAAGACCCCTGGTTTTGGATTCTCCCAGGGCCAGGGGCTTTACCCTCTGCCCTGGGAGCACATCAGACTCCTTAATCTTATCCTCCTTGACAAGTGGGTCATGGACCCCCGTGTCCCTCCAGCCTCAACACATTCTCTGTTTACCTTGGCATCTTTGTCCACCTCCAGTAGGTCAAACTGGACAAAATTAACTGGGACCCTCTCATGGACCCTGGGGGGCTCCAGACTGGGGGTTCCTTAACCTGGCCAGTTCAGGGTTGGCGTCTGGATTCCACGTAGGAAGTGCATTGCTTCCTCATGCATTCAGTAGACTCAAACAGATAACAGCTTCTGGGACCATCCCGCTGGGCTGGGAATCTATTATTGGTGTTGCCAGGAGGGGACCATCTCCTGCCTTCTTCCCCAGGACAAAGCAGGAACCCTCCTTTGTGCCAGGACGTTGCCCATCCCTCTCTGGCGTGTGCTCCACAAATGGTCCTGCACCAATAGATCAGCTCCGTCTTTTACAGTCATTGGGGTTTTATCCCACACTGCAGCCCTTACTTCATCAGTGCTGCAGGCATCAAAGAACTGCTCATGGGCAAACGTATCGACCAGCTTTTCACAATCCTCTGCCCCTTTACCCCTTATCCACTTGTTCAATAATCACACACTTTATAAATATAGTTCCTGTGACTCATCTGATCATGTTTGCTGAGGTTTCTAAACTGTAGGCGATATACCTCGGGGGATTTGAAACATTTTCAATAGTTTCCTTGGACCGATCATAAACCAGAGCCTCCCACAGATCCATGTAATTAAACACATGTAAGGCTTTAACAGAGAGTTTGAGAAGCAAGACGGTCATTTTTGTGCACCAGGAATTTGGTGAACTCTGCATATCCTCTCAAAGGTAATCAGATGTTCCTCTTTGCATTGCCTGTCCCTGCAGCTTGGGCATCGCTTATCATAGCTGGTTGATCCCTGCGGGTGGGGCACTACCTCTGGATTGAGGGCTCTTATTTTGTAATTCCAGCACTCTGAGCTCCTGCTCACCTGTGTTCATGCTTTCAGTCTTCCAGCTCCATCAGTCTCCAATGGGCGGCTTCCTGGGCTGCCTTCTCTCTCTTGCAGCCTTTCTCCTCCATCCACCTCTGGTGCTCTCATTCTTTTTCCAATTTCACCAACTCCGATCTGGCCATCTGGGATGAAGTGGGAATGTTCTTAATGGTTTGTCTGAATACTCTGTGTGTGCCTCAGTTTCCCCTATGTGTTACTTAAGTGTCTTCTTCTAGGTGGTGGGACAAGGGTGTGTAATCATTACAGAGACCCCCAGAGGGCAGGTGTGGCTGCCTGGGCTCAGACAATGGCCAACACTTGGTATCCTGGCAACTGATCGCCGGGGCCCATCCTCTGCAAGAGCCAGCCGGAGATGTTGGAGAACAAAGCGAGGAGTGGAGGCCAGGTGACCCGTTTGCCCCGGAGAAGGGGCAAACTGGGTGTGACAGAGGCTGGGCTGCTGGAAACTGATTAGTCTGTGGTTGGGGGACTGAAGAGGGGAAAGGCCAGGGCTCTGGATTACCCCCTGCCTTCCAGGATGGACTTTGCTGAATGTTCCTAATTTCTGTGCTAACAAGCTCTGTTCTACGCTGTGTTCCCGACGACTAATAAACCTTCTGTTTTCCACTGCTGACTGCAGAGTGGGGGTGCCTGGCCCCTTTGGGGGCGTGTAAGGCTTCCCCAGGTGTCCCATCCAGGTGGACTCACTGCGGGAAGCTCACGGTGTGAACGACTGAATGCTCTGAGGTCAGACCCAGGAGGCGCTGAAGCCAAGGAGGCATGCCCTGGTGAGAGTGTGCCCTCAGGGGAGACACACTGCACTAGAGTCCTGTCTGACTTCATTCAGAGCAGTTCCAGAGCACCCAGCCTGTGACTCTGTGACCCCATCGCCAGCCAAAAGGCTGCTTTGTTGAGGGCTGTGTCAGGCTGGCCCCCATTGCTGGGAGTCGCACCCAGACCTGCATTCCCTACATTTTCATTCATTCCCGAGGGATCTAGCCGCTCTCTGTACAACTTGTTCCATGAGCATAAACCTCATTCCCACAGCGACTAATCCACATTGGGCGCACAGCTGCTCTGACTGCCGCGGAGTTCATTTGCAATGTGTTTCGTGGCCACTTTGCGCTGTCTTTGTTCTATGGCCCTCTCCCGAAATAGACAGAAACCAACAAAATGTCTCCTTTTTCTCTCCTGTCTCTAACCGTATTACCTTCGAGCCTTTAGGGTAGGTCTGTCAGTGTACGTTGTACATGCCTTGAGCCTGAACTTCTGCTGGCTCACAAACAGGATGCACTTTTTCCTTCCCTTGTACAGTCACAGACATTTGTCTCAGTTCAGAATCAGGGCATTTCATTAACGTCAGCTCAGTCCTGATGGTCCCCTAGTCACAGTCTTTCCTTGGCATTCTTTTGTCTTTCTCAGTGCTCAAGACTGCATCTGCTGCAGGCTGCAAACCCAGAGCTGGGCTGGGTCGATGGATGTCCGTTGTTCTCAGCGTTGATTGAGTCCACTCTGGAGACCCATACTGCCTCAGGCAACAAGTTTCACCTCCAGTAGCTTTGGAACCCAATATTCTACAAGTGATATAACTCTACAATTGTTTCCCATACAGATAGGATGCCAGGTGCCCAGTTTTGAACCGGACAGTTCTCTTTTTGGGTGGTTTGTCCCACATCTGGTACTGAGACAAAACCAGACGAGGTTTTGTCCGTTATCAGACAGAGGACACCATTTTGAAGAGTGTGTCACTCCACCCTCGCTGGTGTGATCTCGCATGCACCCTCACACCAGCAGGTGTGGGGTCACGCCAGCGGGATCAGGCCCATGCCGTTCCCAGAAGTATCCGGTATTCAGGGAATGAATGAGTGGCCACCCTATGTACCAACATCCTGCAATGACCATGATAATTAGCTTGTTCTTAGCTTTTAGAGTCCATAAGACCCCTTGGCTGAAATATCTGGAGGATGGTTGGACACAGATGTAATATACCTGCCTGGGCATGTCTGTGTCAAAAGGTAGGTAGGTAGATCAAGTGTGCTACAATCAGCAGGGTGAGAGAGAGAGACATTTCATTACTAAAGGAAATTTGTTGAGAAAGTTCCAAGCAACAGAGCAAAGAACTTTAAAAAAACTTGCAAAGGAAAATTGTCAAGTATGTTCCAGGCAACTGCAGCCCAAGGTTGAGAATAGATTGCCCTCCACAACCTCAACCACAGCTCTGCTGCTGGCAACATGATAATAACTTCTGATTGAATAATTACCAGTATATACCATACCTTAAGTCAAGCTATGAAATCCTGTTACTTTGAGTGACAATCACAAGGCTCCATTAGTGCATCTGTAACACGTCTCAGCTGTCAGCATGCAGGAGGGTTGACACGCACATTTTCAACGTGGCTGTATAGAAAATCGGCAGATAAAAATAACCCAGCCTGTGCGGAGGGGTTTTCACTCACTTGCATTGCCTTGTAGCTAATTCTGACGCCTCCATCAAATTTGCTTGGCAGAGGAGGGATGCAGGATATCAGCCGATGTTATCACAAGAGGTCCATGGAACTGGGCTGTGGATGGGAGGCCCAAGGGGGGGGAAGGATGAGATTTAGTGGCCAGAGATGCATGCCCCAAAGAGGAGCCTGGTGTCTAATTGCAAAGCTTCTCTGCCCTGTGCCCGATTGCTTGGAATGGGCGGGTCGTCGATGCTTTTCTCTGAAGGGTGTGGCGTGTTAGTGACATAACCTACGTCCCGCTGAATGTCTGTCAGCTTCAGAGCGTGGGTCATCTCCCGATAGCCAGAGCATCTCAAGGGCACCTCCCCGGCAGCTGCAACCCCTCCCATTCACCAGTGGGCCTGCGTAGCCAGCTGGTCCTCTTCTCCCCTAGACACACCAGCCAACCACCTCGCTGGCCTGGCCATGCCTCTCTTGCCGGTCCATCAGGCCGGCTCCAACAAAGGCATGGGGCTTGCTTGGGGAACAAGAATTGGGAGGCAGGTCCAGGCGTGGGGGCCGTAGGACTTAGTGTGGAAAGAGGAAGGACAGCAATAGAATAGGAAGGAACATACAGGGAGCAGGACCATGAGAGGAGAGATACGGGCATGGGCAGGGCCGCAAGGGTGTGGATGAGGAGCCAGAGCAGGACATTACTAGTGTAAATGGTGGAGTCTCTGTAACTTGAAGTCTTTAAATCAAGATTTGAGGACATCAGTAACTCAGCCAGAGGTTCGGGATCTATTGCAGCATTGGGTGGGTGATGTCCTGTAGCCTGCAATGTGCAGCAGGTCAGACTAGATGATCATGATGCTCCCTTCTGGCCTTTGAAGTCTCTGAGCAGGAATCCAGTGAGCTAAAGGGAGGCCGATGGGGTCAGTGCAGCAGGGAGGAAGGTGACCCTAGCCGCAGTGTTGGCAGGGGTGGTACAGAGTTGAGCTGTGGCCCAGGCACACAAGGAGGGGGAGTGAGTGACTCTCGGGTTTCTCTCCCTGTAGATTTACCTGTCCTGGAAGAGTGGCCCCGGCGAGGTGAAGCACTGGAAGGATATGATCGCCCATCCCCGGCAGGCCGTGGCACAGTGGCACCAGCTGAAGGCCTGAGCGGCAGCGGCTGAGAATTCTGTCTGGCTTTCACCGCTCCGAGTCGACGTTTCTTGGCCATGCTCTCACTACTTTATGCACAACAGAGGCACCTGGGGATCCCCCTAGGGGACGAGCTCGGGGCTGACAAGGAGCTGAGGGTCTGAAGTTGGCGACGTTTCCAAACTCTGGGAAGCAGCGTTGGCCGCCCGCTGTGTCCATGGGGCGCCCGGCACCAACAGGAGCACCTTTAGTGCCCAACTTCCTGCTTTAGCCTTTCCTCCTGACTTGTTACGCCGAGAGAGAGAGACGCCAGCCTGCTAGGTGGGAAGGAGCCTCGGCACTGGTTTGTTTTGCCCTGGAGGGTGGGGAAGTGGTGTTGGCGCGACTGGCTCCATGAGGTGGTGAAAGGAGGAGACGCCTCCGCCACACGAGACTTCCTACGAGTTCTTCCAGCCCAAGGCCTGTTGGGAGTGCTCCCCCGAGGAAGCCAGCATCTCCTAGGGGGCGCGTGGGCCTAGGAGACGGGGCTGGCAAGGGGGACGTGCCCTCGGTCTCCTTGAGGTCATTTATTTTTAATTCAATAAAACTTGTAAGAGTAATAAGAATAATATAAGTAATAGCGGCTAGAATCCTGTCCCGGTCAGGACTGGGGGAAGCCGCGCCACTCCAACAGCCTCCTGTGCGTTTGCTGTGTGTGTGTATAAGCGTGTTGTAAGTGTCACATGTTTGCGTGCGGGCTGCTCACGTCTCGCTCGCTCTCTCTCTCTCTGCCCTGCCTGGGAGCAACCCCTGATCCCACAGGACAGTGGTGGTTCCAGTGCGGGATGTGGTTTTTTTTAATTGGCTGGTGCATGGGGTTTGAAGGAACTGATGCCACATGGGGAGTGGGGCCAGTCTCTGCTGCCAGTCCATGCTGGATAGGGAGGGAGGCGGAAGGAGCTGCCCACCAGGCAGGGTCTCCCCTCATGACCATTCTGTGGTATATGGGATTGGAAGCCATAACAGATGGATCGGTAGCCAAACTGGGCTCGGCTTTAGGGCTAATGAGAGCTTGACTGTAGTCACCTCCCTCTGGCTGGTGATTGCCTCGTCCTGCTTGAACTGAGAGAATGTCCCAAACCAGCTCCCAAACACTGCCACACTCTCAGGCATATGGACCCCGAAACAGCCCACCCCTCCAGCACCCATCCCCCAACCTCACCCGAGACACCCCACACCCTCACCATACACAGCCCACCCCTCCAGCACTCATCCCCCAACCTCACCCGAGACACCCCACACCCTCACCATACACAGCCCACCTCTCCAGCACCCATCCCCCAACCTGACCTAGGCCTCAGAGGTGCTGTCTGTGAAGGTCTCCCACTTGCTATCTGTCTCCTCCTAGCTGTGGGGCTGGATATGGCCCCCCCTTCTCCTCAATCCAGTAGTGATGCGGCCCCATGATGGGATCTCCTGGGTGGTCTGAGGTAGCAGGCGGCTATTTCATGGTGGCCCATTTGAGCCCATTCTGGGTGCCTCACTGGGCCATGTCGGCTGCAGTGGCTGACTGGGCCCAGGCGGTGCTCTTTTCCCCACCCCCGCAGTTCTGGGCATTGCTGCTCATTTCCGGGCAGCGCGACACTGGGGCAAAGGGTCTGCACCTCGCCCACGAATGGGCACAAAATAACTAATGTCACCCAGAAGCCCTTGAGAAGCCTGCTAGGTGGCCAAGAAAGCCATGGGAATGCTGCGGACACATCCCACCCATGCCAGCCACCCACCATTCCCCGCAAGCAGGAGGCCAGACTGGCATAGCTGTGAGCGCGCCGGTGCTGCTGCTACACCACTGCCTACACCGTCCCCTGAGGGGAGCGGCTGGCATTGGCCTAGCCAGGAGCACCCCATGGCCAGCACTCCCCATATGGCCCTGCCTGCTGCCCAGCACGTGACTCAGCCCGAGGGCTCTGACCTGCCCCAGTCCCTCCCCTGCCCCTTTAAAGGGACTGTTCCTCTCCATTCCCGTCGGGCCTGAGCCTGGGGGGTGGTCGTGCTGAATTAAGCATCTGCTTCACTCAGCCAGCAAGGGACCCTGCTAGAGAGCTAGCTGGAAACTGCCCATCTGGTCTGCAAGCCAGGGCTGGTGCTGTGCAAAGGGACTAAGAGCCGCTGAACAGGCACTTACACTCAGGCAAGGGCAAGAAGCCCTCATTTAATTCCCGCAGCCCTTTTAATCGGCACTGGCACAGGGAGGGGAGCCCAAGCCATGGGCCTGGAGAGAGCAAACCATAGGCCCTGCACAGCTGCAAAGCCCCCACCAGGGGGCACTGTAGGGCCATAGGCAGAGCGGTGCTGGGGTTCTGGCTCCGGCTGAGCACCCTTGGAGTTACTGCCCAGGGGGCTGGCCAGGGAGCCCCGCAGAGACTAGGCGCTTCCAGAGTTGCCCCTCCCCGATCAGCGCATGGGACTGGTCCCTGATTTCCCCGCTGGCAGAAACACAGCGCTCCTGCCCTGAACTAGTCTCAAGGCAGGAGACTGGTACGTGCCAGCCAGCTCTCTCAAATCCCTGGGCCAGTACATCTGCCCCCTTGCTATGCATGGCCCTCTGGGACCCTCTTTCCATGGCACCATGGCTGCTCCCCTGCTGAGGCCTGGGCTCCTTACCATTGTTCTGCAGCCCCACGTCGCTGCCTCCCCCCCCCCAGCCATTCCTCTCACTGGGGCCTCATACAATGGTTCACCGTCTCCACACAGCCCCCTGCCCCCCCAAAAAAAGTATCTCCCCCCCAAGCTCCTGTCATCAGTTCACTATTCCCAGCCCCCCTCTGCCACCCCCCACACACACCTTGCTCTGCCCACCAAGGGTGTGCCTGAGGCAGCTGGGTGGTGGAATGGGTGCTGAGGCCATTGGGTGGGAGGGTGGCTGCTGGGTAGGGCGAGTGGGGTAGATGCAAGGGTGCTGTGGATGATAGATGGGAGGGTGGAGGTCCTTGGGATGGGTGCCAAGACTGCTAGATGGGGGTTAGGGGTTAAGGGGTGCAGACCGGATAGAGGGAGAGGGTGTCAGGGATGGGTCCTGGGACTGATAGGTGCCTGGGGATGCTGGAGGGGCAGCTGGGTGGATGATTGAGTTAGGTACTGAGACTACTGGGTAGGCTGGTGCCTGGGGTGGCTACTGGGTGGGTGAATGGCATGATAGGGTGGGTGCTGGGGTGTCTTGGTGCTAAGTGGATGTTTAGGTATCAGGGCGGGTACTAGGGCACCTAGGTGGGGGGAATGTGAGGGGGGGGTTCAGGGGTGCAACCAGGTATCAGGGGCACTCCCCTAGACCAAGGGAGCTCTGCATTTAGTGGTGTCCAGGCTGCCTTGCTGCACTCTTGCCCGTCTGGGTAGTGGAGTCACTTGGCACGTTGCCCTGGGTGACGACAGCATCTGTTCAGTTTCCCTTGTGTTGTTCTAGAACCCTCAGCGCTGGGGTGGGGAGCAGGGAACACTGTGTCCATTGTTGGGTGAGATCATTAACGCCTACCTACCCGGCCAGCTGCAGCTCATTAGCGGTCCTCACTTGGTCTGTGCACACGCTGTCCTCGCTTGACATTGTCCGTCTCACTGGTCTTGCTCTAATCAACCCTAGTGATGGACAAAGGTCAGGTATTACCATGTTCCTTGTAGATCTGCCAGCAGCCTTTGGAGCTGAGGACCTTGAGGGCTGGTTGACACTATTGAAGAGCATAGCTAGGGCTGATGAGATGGCTCTTGCATCGGTCTGCTCGAGGCAGGTGGTGTTGGGCAATTGCTTTACTGACCCAAGGGCATGTTCATGTGTGGCACATTGCAGTTCCATTAGGTCCTATTCAGTTTGTGTGTGAGGCCACCAGGGGCAGAGGAGACTGAGACATTACAGGCCACAGCAGTGTCATCGTTATGTCAGTGGCAGGTGGCACAATGATGCTGGTAGGTTGGGTCCTAGCTAGAGTGTATGGCAGGGGGTTATTGAAAAGTTGTTCCCACCCTTTATCAGTGCCGGTCCAATTTGGAGGTACTGTCAGAACTCCAGCCTCCCCCACAATCTCAGGCATCACTGGCAGCTTTTATTCTTCTGCCTCTAGTCAGACAATTGTGACCATCTCATTTGGACCTTGAGTGTTATTCAGGCATTGATGGCCTCCAGACTGGATTGCTGCAGTGCACTCTACATTAGCAGTCCCTTGGAGATCATCTGGGTTGTAGCCCTGGTGCAAAACCTGGTAATGAGCTGTGTCAGGCACAGTGAAAATGTTACACCTGTTCTTCCAGAGGCTACAGAGGCTATAAATCCCAGTGTGGGTTAGGTCCTCGCTACCTGTGTGACCACCTCCTAGGGTGCCACTTTGATAATTGATGTCACTCTCAGTCTTAGGTCATTCATGATCTTAAGTGTTTTAAAATGTTATTGGGGCAGTCTTGGGGCAGGTTCTCAAAGCACTCATTCACTTCTGCTTCCATCCAGGCAAGACAGCCCAAGGCTCTTAACCTTGTGGGCATGATGTAAGGACCACCTACTCTCTCAGGCCTTCCGAGTGAGGTGACTGATAGGCTCTGTACAGTAGTTAGCCTATTTTTTAGGGCATAAGAGTCTTTTTATTTGGTTTACATAGTCATTGTGTTATGGTGTTTTTTCTACATGATGTGCAGGTGCCTAGAAACATTTGTGATAGGCACATTTTTATAAAATTAACAATAAACCATGACGGGAGGATGGAGGAAGGCCTACAGGTGATGGGGGAAGGGTTAGGATCTCCTAGGAAGGGTTGGGTGGACTTTCGGTTCTTTCTTGTCCCCCCATTTTGTGGCATCACTTCTTCTCAGCTGAGCCAGTTCTTCAATGATGAGGAAGTGCTGTTAGATTTATTTATTGGTCTGTGGGGGCAGGGACCGTGGGGAAGAAACGACCACTTAAAAACGCAGAGAGAGCGAGAGAGGCGGCGAGACGGCATTTAGCGATCTGCACTCATTAGGTGAAATAGTTACCAATTTACTACAGAAATAAAAACCAAACTTGTATTGAGGGGAGGGGCAACAGCGTCTTTTTATTTTTGTGCCCCACCCATGCAGCTCTCAGCCAATCAGATGCAAGGAAACATTCCAGAGGGATACTTTTTGCAAAGGGGGACTTTCGTGCCAAAGCAAACTTGAAAATACGCAGCTTCCCGTGTCAGTATTTGAGCTGAGCTGTGTTGACGGGAACGGTTTGCCTGCAGCCCTTTCTCTGCCTCTTCCTGAGCCTCCAGGAAAGTCAGAGCTAGCGCTAGTCCAACTATGGTATGAATTATCGTAATCCAGAGCTCCATTCCTTCTAATATACACTATTGGTTATTCAGCCATAGCTCGGGTGACAGCAGTGGTTCACAACTGAATCAACTCCTCACTGTTAGTGTGTGTAACTGGTCACGTAAATCACATGCTGGTGTTTCTGCTCCACTGATTGCATGATGGAACCATTCGTAACAGGAGAAAAAAAAATTAACCAACTTTCTGGTATGAACTTTTGCACCAACCTGTGCTAAAATTGTGACTAGGATCCTGTATCGCTGGCCACTGACCAAACACTCCCAAATTACAAGTGTGACAACCCACAGGCAGCAGCGTGAACAGAATTGGGCTTATTTGGGCACAAAAATATTCAGGACTCAAGGGGCAAGGGGCATTTTACTAGTCCACCCACTCCTGTCAGAACGTTGCCTCTGTGACATCACAGGCTGTAGCCATGGTTACGACTGCGATGTCTCAACTTTGGCATT